TTCTACTGTTCCTCATTTGTTCCTTTTCTTGTTAGTGTTGCTGATAAAGAGGAAAAGCTCGCTTGCACGAGTTTCTTCTATGCTGTCAGGTGTTCTTGAGAACCTGGTGGTTTAACTGCAGTGCAGGGTCATGCTCACCACAGATACAGAGCAGAAGTGACTAATCCTTGCAGCTCACGACAATCACCCAAGATGCCTTTAAGAAACACGGCATTTGTGCCAGCAGGCTCGTGTGACTAATTGCTCTAGTAGTGAGCCTCAAAAAGTAATCGGGCAACAGTCGAAGCTCATTGGGTAACACTAATATGAAGCTAGTTTGGAGAGAAACTACCTGTAATTCTCCAGCTTGGATACTGGCCATGCCTTTTCAGGATGCTGCAACTCAGTGGCCTCATTATTTTCCCAGCTGCCCCAGAATAGCACAGGCCTACTTTCTCAAATTTTGAGCTTGCTCAAGGGACCGACTGGGAAAAAACAAAAAAACAAACCTGTGTTTATAAAAAGATCTTTGCTAACTTAACTCTATAATACATGGTCATCTTTCCCTATCTGTGGGATACTAGTTTGAGGATCTGTCCACCTTTATGCAGATACCAAAGCCACAGATGCTCAAATCCCTCATATTCGAAATTGTTTAGTAGTTACTTATAATCTATGCACACTCCCATATGCTAAATCATCCTTAGATTTTTTCTAATACCCAATATAGTTGAAATGCTATATAAATAGTTAGACTATATTGTTCAGAGAATAATAGCCAAGAAAAATACCTGTACATGTTCAATGCAAATACACTTTCCCCCAAATATTTTCTAGCTTTGATTAGTCGAATCCTTGAATGCAAAAATCTGTTGACAGGGACAGGCTGGTATACTTCCAAACCAAATTGAAATTTACTGCCTTTCCTGATCCCACTGTGCTTAGATTCCATCCTATTTCTATTAAAAGGAAAAATCAGGTCCTCTTGTCCCATGCTTCTGTCTTGGGGAATCCATGGCTTCTGTATGACTGCAGCAAATACAGAGATGGCCCCTGCCCCTTACAAAGGGCGGGAAGCCTTGCATGCTGACAACTCTGCCTCTCCCACTCTTTCTTGCACATGGACTGGCTAACTGTCCTCCTTGACTTTGCCCTTCCTGTCCACTTCTGTTCCTGTGGCCTTGCCCTGTGGGAATGTGACAACCAGCCCTAACCTGATGGCACTATGTTATTGCCTGGTCAGAAATAAACTGCTCTATCCCAGCCATTACAGACACCTCCCCTAGAGTGCTCAGACCTGTGTAACCATTTATACATAATTCCCAGTGTGATGGCTAAAGAAGCTTAATATGGTACCTCAAGAGCCATTGACCCTTGCCCTGGTGAGATCCTAGTGGCCTGCAGGAGAGAGAAGAATAGGATAATGGTGATGCTGCTGTGAGCTATTTAACCATTTGTGTTTTGCTTTTGTAAACTCCCTTATTGCTACAGGACTGGGATGAAGTGACCTTTCCTAGCTGTATAATGGGAAAGAGAAACAATGGGGGAGTAAAACAATTGTCCTGCCTGGCTGTGGATTCCGTAGATAATTGTAATGTACACCTTTGATATCCACCTTCACAAACTCTCCCTTTAACCCCCTTCTGCACAGCATGTTTGGCTCTAAGGATGCCGTCCTTCTGCTAGCAGCAAAAATAAATTCATTTAATCTAATTTGAATTGATTCTAAGTCTTTGGTCTTTCCCAGTGGATTCGAACACCACAATAGCCCCAACCTGCCACATCAGCGGATGGCAGCTCCATTTTCAGCTGTTTGGCCATATGCAGGTCTTTCCTTTATGTCCTAACTAATAGTAAATCCTCTGGCTCTAAATAGCCCCCTTTGCCCTCAACATAACCACCGGCCTAAGCCACTGTTCCCTCTGTGCACTGCAGTGGCATCTTATATATACTGCCTCCCTTGCTTCTACTCTGGCCCTCGATTCACACAGCAAAAGGAAAATTTGAAAACCTAAGTCCAATTCCATGATTCCTCAGAGCTCAACACCTACATCAGGATTCCCTTTGCATTCAGTGTAAAAGTCAAAATTCTCACTAGGATTTGTACGCCTATGTAACCTCATGTTTCTGCTCCCTCACTTAGCTCTAGACATGCAGGTCTCTATGCTGAACCTAGACTCTTGTGGCCACCTAAACTTGATGTCTGCATGGCTCATAGCCTCAGGCCTATATTCGGGGTTGTTAGAAAGCCTCCTGACTTACATCCACAGAGGTGGTAGCTGTACACTCACCTGTCCTGTGCTCTGTGCCCCAGCATGTCCATGTCATCTTTGCAGGGATCACTACACTGGGATATGGTCGTATCCCTAGAGTAGTCTCACTGACTCTATCACAGGCTGGGGGTTGGGGAAGGACAGTGGGCTTCTGAATGAAAGACAGGCAGAGCCCTACCTGTTTAGAGCTTACTTCCAGAGCTGTCCCGCTTTGGGGCTTTTGTGCAGACCAGTCATTCTCCTCTGCTCGCTCTTCCACACATTTTGCCTCCTCCAGGTTTAATCCCCTGTTGACTCCCCTCTCTCAGCTCTTCATAACCCCTGCAGGGTTCCACCTATGACTCTTGGGAGGTTCTCAGGATTTCTTGTTGGTTGCCTTCTCTTTCTACTAGGATGTGTGTTTGTTGACCTGGACAGTTTTTCTTTTCCCTTCTGCCGCCTACAACAATGCAGAGAGACAGTGCCAGTGTTGAAAAGAGGCTTGCTGAACAAGATGGTTCCAGTGATCTGCCCAGGCCCCAGCAGCCTGATGTCATTAAAAGTTCAGCCATATGGGTGCAAGCACAGTCTGTCTAGGCAGGCTAGAATCTAAGAATTAGTCTAGTGGGCAACATCTAAACTCAGAAGTCCTACAAAACCCGGGATCCTTTGTGTGTGTGTGTGTGTGTGTGTGTGTGTGTGTGTGTGTGTGTGTGTGTGTGTGTGTAGAACTTCTGAGAGATGAAATG